TTATTCGTTCTTTAATGTTTAGGGAGTTGGTTTAAGATAAGTGTGATCAATTTTATGTGAAATTGAATGACAGATGTGTTTTACATTTTGGTCTTCGAGAATTTGGTATTGTAAGTGGTTTAACCTGTTGTGGTAATGAACATGTTGAGGGTAAATTCAGTGGACCCAATAGGTTGGTGGATACTTATTTTTCTGGTTTTGAAGTGGTGTCAAAGAAGTCACTTATTGATTGTTTTGAGAAGAAGAAATGGCAGTCTGATGAAGACGCAGTTAAGATTGCAATCATTTATTTCATAAACGCATTTCTAATATCCACTCAGGCTCAGAAGACATTTATAAGTAAACGTGATTTCCATCTTGTCGAGAGTGGTGAGTATGTGTCGCTTCCATGGGGTAAGATCGCATTTCGAGCTTTAATGAAGTCGGTGAGGGACAGGTTGAAGGGAAAGTCTGAGTTTTATAGGATTGGTGGATTTCCTCTTGCACTACAGGTGTGGTTCTATGAATGTTGCACTGTAGTTGATCAAAAGTTTGCTATTCGTGTTGGAGATAATACACCACGCATATTGAATTGGGAAATGACAGACAGGCCAACGCGTGAGGACTTCTCTACTGGTTTCTTCAACAGCACTGGGAATAAGGTACCATCTTTTATGTCTTGATGGGATATACATTTATAACACATTGTAATTCATTATGATACATCAAACATACATTTTTTATATATCTTTGATACATCTAGGTCTGAATCACTTTTGGTTACCTTTGTAGTTTAAAAATATCTCTCCGACAATTGAAGAGCTAAGGAGATTTACTTTGCCTGTTGAAGTTACCGATGAGTATCAGAAATATTTGACATCACGTAACAGGGGAAAACTTTCTATCGATGATAGCGATGATTTTGCCACGCCACCCCCGAAACACATTAAGGAGCCTGTCCCACCAAAAAAGGCGCCAAAAAGCGCGCCAGGTGTCCAACCTGTTGATTATGACCGTGAGTTGCAGAAGTTGAAAGCTGATGTGAAGAAAGTATGTATTGGTCTTTTTTATATATTTTTTTGAAAGTATTGTTCAAATTGTATATTCAAAGTCTATTATCTTTCTTATTTGTTTCATCTTGTAGCTCCATAAGCAGTTAAATTCGTTCATGGATTATGTTTCTGATAAATTCAAGGAGCTCTTTGAGTTGATAAATTCCAAGGTATGTGTTTCTTTTCCATTGCGCATTTCTTTTTATTTTTTAGTTAACTTACTATATCCTGTTTTTTAAAAATAGCTTGGTGCAAGCGAAGTCATATATGGTGCACATCCAGAGGAAGACACCAGTGGTCGTAAAGACAATAATGATTTTGTGAGCAATATGGAGTTTGATGGCAATGAAGATGTTGAAATAGATGGTTGTCAGGTGTGTTTCGTTGTGCATTCTGCACTTTCCCCTTTTCTTTTCATTGTTGTTTTTGATAATTCGATTCTTTTTAAAAAAAATAGGTCGGTGGAAGTGAAGGCAAAGATGTTCCACATTCTCAAAGAGATACTAGTGTAGCAGATCAGTTAGGTGTCAATGCTATGGAAGGACCTTCTGGTGTGAAAGTTGACATGTTTGTTGCTAAAGTAACTTTCACACCAGATGTAGCACATGCTGGCGTTATTGGTGAGATTGCAGATGCGGCGGCAGGGGAGACGGAGGAAGAATCTGAGAAACAAAAGGTTCCTGAATCCCGGACTGGTGCTGTTTGTGCGACTGCAAGTGTTGATGCGGCGGCAGGGGAGACGGAGGAAGAATCTGAGAAACAAAAGGTTCCTGAATCTCGGACTGGTGCTGTTTGTGCGACTGCAAGTGTTGATGAGGCGGCAGGGGAGATGGTTCTGTACAATCCTGAATTACTTCCTGAAGTATCGCCGCAAATGGAAAAAAGAAAGAGATGTCCTGCAAAGGCCGTGCAGTCTCCGTTCATTACTGTGTTTGATTCAGGTTCCAGTACTGGTGTTGTTGCAGCGAAAGGAGAAAGGCAAATTTATGCTATTAAGCATCCTTTTCAAAGCAAAATCGGAACTAGCGTTAACAGCTCTTTGTTGAATGTATTTGCTGCGTGGGTCAGAGAAGGGAAGTCCAAAAAGAAGTATGTTTCCAACTTCTGAGTTTTTTTCAGTTTTATATTTTAATATATTATCACGTATAGCATTATTTTATATCAAATCACTGTACTCTTTTGTGTATATATGTTACCAGGAATAAAATTTACCCGAAGCATGTTAGTGAACTCAATCTTGCTTATGATCTTGGTGTATTTCATGTTGACAACAAAAAATGGTTTTACACTTTGGCATATAATGGTCAGCCCTTGGATGACTCGGTATGTAAGAATTAACTTTTGCAGTTTTTTTTTTTAAATTTTAGTCAGTGTACACATGAACACTTAGTCCTCTTAAGTTAGTACAAATTATTAATTGCTATTTCCTGGCACAAGAGATAGCAGTGAGCATTCATTTTCCTTTGTTTTATGTGATTTTGGTTTGAAAAACCGTAGCTGCTTAAAGCTTACGAGCCTTTAGTGATTAGTTATTTGTTATGTTTTGTTTCAGCACATTGATGTTTTGTTCTATTATCTGAGGAAGAAGGGGAAGTATGACAAAGACCTACCTGTAACATTCACCACCACAGATTGGTACTTCGACGAGAAAATTAATGAGTTGTGGCAGGCGTTTATTGATACAGATGGAGACAGTGATGTGTGCACTCTGGAACATGTCATTGCAGAGTATATTCAGGGGTTTGTCTTGGATGCCAATGTTCCATGGCACACTGTCGAGCATGTCTTAATGCCAATTAATGTTGCAGAACAATGGCATTGGATAATGGCTGTGATGTCCTTCAAGGATATGTGCATTTATGTGTATGACTCTATGCGCGGTGGAGCTGCTCATCAAGCCAAAGTTCATAAGACCATGGCCAAGTATTCTGTGTTGCTGCCTCATTTTTTCGTGCACACGCATTTCTATTTAAAACAAAAAAGATATCAATTGGCGCGCCGGTGTCTACAAATCAAAAGACTTGATTACCTCCTTTGATGTAAAACTGGTCGAAGGATTGCCTCAACAAGTCGAAGCGTATGAATTTCTTTCAACAAAATCTGTCTTGTTTTTAGATTCTGCAGTTTGATAGTTGTTGTTCTTTTTATTTTTGCAGTGATTGCGGTGTATTTGCGGCATCATTTGCCGAGTATTTCATTGAGGGCAAGACGCCTCCTAAAAAATTCAATGCCTATGCACACCGGCGCAGATTTGGTGCTCTCTTGTGGGATTATGCTAGAAACAAGATGGAACTGAACGCGCAAAGTGATGATGAGATTATTGGTCGACAGAATAAGTCGCGGAAGCAGAAGAAGTAGTTACTTTTGTCATTGTTGTAGGATGAACTCTATAATTTTGTTTTCGTATTGTGTTCTGTTATGTTGTCATTGTTGTAAGACGGATCAGATTTGTTTTGTGTTTGAATTTTACAAATACTTTTAAGAATTTTATGGCAAATGAGATGTTTGCTCTGTTATAATGGTTTAATGAGTTTCAGTGCGATATTGGATTGTTGCAGTTTAGTTTATTTTGGTCTTTTCTCCCTTGATTTTGTGTTGTGAATTATAGATATGAAAAATATACGGTAGTTTGTGATACATTGTCTCTTGCAGATACACGCATGATACATACATGATACAGATATGATACACATATGATACAGATTTGATACATATATGATACACAGTTTTCAAATATGCATTGATGAAGCCACTCTTATTTGCAAATTTCTAAAACTATTTGCATAGTTTTCTAGCTGTTACGACTGTTTTCCATTAGTTAGCTTTGTTACTACACAAACACAGGCATGAGTAAAAGCCTATACACAGAGATACATAGGTGATACACAAGCGATACATAGATGATACAAATATGATGCACAAGCGATACATATATGATACAAATATGATACATAGCTGATACAACTTCTTTTTAATCAAACAGATGTATAATATAAACTTGCAACACGATTTTAAATGATAGGTCAAATATTTATTTATATCTAAAATTCAAATGACATTCTACAATGATATAGTTCTTGATATATTGCATTCTTCTAAATTTCTATGATATTCAGTAAAGTAAAATAACAAGTAATTCTAAATTTGACATATTTCATCCTCTCTTTGGATTATTTCTACAAGTTTTTCTGTTGTGACCTTCTTCTCCACACTGTCCACATGAAATCGACCTTTTTCGTTCCCTTTCAGATATTGGCTTGCACCTCCCTTCCTATTGTTTTAGTCACGTCTGGTGGCAAGACTTTTTCATTTAGAACTTCTGTAGGAATTTCCCATGTGCTTTCATCAGGAACCGGATAAATTGGAATTTCATAGGTCTCAATAGGTACTTCGTGGTGTAGTACACCGAGCAATATTCAATGTGATCAATGTATTTGTATTTTAATACTGCCCAAGCATGTGCACATGGCAGCTCATCCAACTGAAACCTTCTACAGCTGCAAGTTCGATCTTTTAGGAACACCATTCTCTGCTTACCCTTGTCAAGTACTGAATATAAGTAACTCGTTGAGGGGGCCACCTACAAAATTTATCAACTATCATTAGTGGTGACAAAGCAGATGCCCTCAAAATACATATACTAGAGAGCCTACAAGATTCAAAATAGCTTAATATCATGTCAAACCAACCAATATTTCAGGAGTGGGGTAGGCATAAATGCTACATTAAATTGAAAGCCTTTGCTTTTGTGCAGGTGGATACTAGTTTAACAGAATCACACAAAGGGTTCAAGATATAACAGATCCGTGAAATTTGGCATGATTATATATTCTATGCGCAAGTATCTACAGATTCCAGTCATACCTTCATCTGATGTGACAATTCAAGATTGTTCATCAGCATTGTATCATATTTTTTTCCAAGATCAGTAAATGACTCTACTGCATTCTTTAGGTTTGTAACATTCCATCATCCGATCAATTTCCTTATGTAGTCTAGCAAAGGCAGTACTGGGAGTTCCCTAGCAGCATTGAGTGCTGCATTGATCGACTCCGCAATGTTTGAAGTTATCGTCAATGTTCTATTGACAGTGGAATGTGCTCTGGACCATCTTTCATACCCAACATTCATTAAGTAATCTTTGACCCTCTTATCAATTTTCTCTACCTCTGCCATGTGGTAATCAAACTTCTCAACTGTGTATGCTTTGGCCATAGCAAAGAATATGTCTTTGAGCAGCAAATGGTTTTTTTTGTAATTTTTTTTTACATTATTCCATAGATGGCATATGCAGACACAATGAGGTACTTGTGGATACAATGTTGCCGCTGCATTTTCAATGCCTTCATGCCTGTCCGAGACTATGCACATTCCCTCCTTTTCCCCAAATGCATCCTTGAATCTCGCAAAAAACCACTCCCAGGAAGCATTATTCTCTGAATCTACTATGGCATATGCGAGTGGTAGGATATTACCTGCTGGATCTTGTGTCGATGCTATCAATAATGTTCCTCTATATGCCGATTTAAGAAAGGTTCCATCTACAACAACAACCGGTTTGCAATACTGCCATCCTTTTATAGACGGATATAGTGCAACGAAAGCTTACATGAACAAGTCTTCCTCTGTTTTTTTTCAAACTTACCACCGACATAGGATTTGTAAGAACCAGCATATAAAAGTAGCTTGGCAGCTTTTCATATGATTCGCTCGGGTTCCCTCTCAGTACTTGAACTGCATATTCTTTCGATCTCCATGCTTGCATATATGTCATCTGAAGACCATACTGCTTGTTCATGTCTCCAATTATGTCATTAGGAGTGTATATTGTTTTTGGGTCTTTATACTTGTCTGTCAGAAGACTACCGATTAGTTTTGCAGTAGCTTGACGTTGTGCGTAAGATCTGTCTTTCAGGGGGCATGAGTGCATTTTGCTGAAATTTCTGACCTTGAAAACGTTTGCTTTTTTCAGGCTCCAAGACTTAAAATACCAATCACAGTTGTTGTTGATGCATACTAGGCAGTACCTACGACAAGGATATAAACTTTTCCATCAATAAACAGAGCGACATGAAATACAATGATATATAGTGATACACACCGCCATCAACAATACTAGATGAAAAAATACAATGACTATACAGTACTAGACGGTGACAACCACAACTTAAAAGTGTACTACAGCCACATACTTACAAGCAACAACTTATTTTCTGCATAATTATGCTTCTAACATCAACTACGATATACATTGAGATACATAATTATACAATAAATATTTTGATACCTGCTTTCACTTGATCTATGCATCTTAAACTGAAATTTTTTCTTTACCGCCAAGTGCCTCATGACTTTGATTATCGTTGCCTTGTCTTTATAAATTTGACCTTCTTCTACATGTATGTGTTGAGGATCAGTTATTATTATATTTTCATCAGATTCTGTATCATTCCAGTCTTCTCCATCCCCAAACTCGATCATCTTACTTGTATCGCCATTGTATCTCTCCTCTACAACTGAGCTTTGTGCACATTCTGAGGAAATCACAACAGAATTGAAATTGTAGCAGATCATCTCCATATCCTTTTCACTCGATGTTATACAAAGTGGATACATTGTAAATTCTGAGCTTTTTTTCAGCTCAAGATATACACATACACCCATACTATCGTGTATCACTATTGGCGGAGAACCGTTTTGGACAGTGTATTTGATTTCAATATCATTCAATGAAGTATCTATCATAAGTTGTTTCGAAATCACGTCTACAAAATCTTCAAAACTTATATTTGGAGTAACTATTACAGCATCTGCATTATAATCTACAAAGCTGTTGTTAACATTCCATTGGCCACATACTGAATAAAAATTGGTAAATTTGCCATTGAAGTAGCTGAAATTAGGTCAAAACTCACTAATTCCTTGATTGATTTTGATTGTAGTTCGTAGTTCCTTCTACACAGAAATTGCAAAAGCTGTATCTACCCAGAAATTGCGAAGGTATATAGTGAAATTGATCGATTTTGAGTGAAACTTGGAGCTCCTTTTGAGCATTTTTTGAGAGAGAATGTCGTGATTTACAGAGGTAGAGAATGTCGTGATCTGTTAAATTGATACGCTTGAAAAAACAGGGAAGGAAGGAAGATCTTTAGCGTGATTCTCGGATAGAAGAATCCTTCCTTACGCGTATCTCTAATTTTGGGCTACTTTTGGTAAGTGTCTAATTTTGGGCTAGAGGTTGGTAAGTTTGTATTTAAATTGGCTATTTTTGTACTTTTCCCTTTACTAATCTGGCCATTTAACATTTTGGACCAGTAGGAGTTTTTTATCCTAAATAACTGTCTTCCCAATCGCTTAAACTAAAAATAGCCGATGAATATATACTATTTATAATTTATGTCTAATATGTCAATAATCATGTATAATTATTATATACCGACTAAAAAAAGTAAACAGTGAATCCTATCGTCTATTTGTATAAAGATCCCTTTGCTGGAGAATCGCAGTTTGAATTTGAAATCTTGACCATCGAGTGCCTTGTACAATGTAGATTTGAGGTGAAGAATTGGTGAAAAAATATGAGAAAAGTTTTTCATTAAGAAAAAAAAAAATTAAATGTTTAGTAATTATAAAACAAAATTTAATATAAAATTTGCTAGCTTCAATGAATTTCATAATCTTATGATTTAATATGACTCCAAACCATTAAAATAACTCATAATTTACTTTTTATTTTTATTTTTCTGTCTATCTTGATAATCATGAAATAAGTCTCTGTTTGTTGCTATGATGTAACCTTAAACTTATAGCTCCTTCATTCATGTTTACAAAAATACACATTTTGGTCCAAGTCCAAGATGAAGGAACTCAAGCATGATTCATTAAAACAAACGGAATTGGTCAATTACGATCCTTTAAGTGCGCAGGTTGATTTATTTTTGTTCTTCTTATATAACACTAAACATGGGGAAGCGAGGCTTAGATGATTCGAACACATGTAGAGGAGAAGTCAAGATGCCCCGATCAGGAGGGATGAACGGTTGGTTCTGGGGGTATGAGAAGATGTAGAGGGTGGCCAAAGAAGTATTGGGGTGAGGTGATCAGGCAGGACATGACGCAACTTTAGATTTCCGAGGGCATGACTATTGATAGGAATGCGCGGTCGAGCATTTGGGTTGAAGGTTAGTGTAATGACCCAAAAGCTCATCTCGTGTTTTAAAATCCAATTCGGGGTTCCGAGGCCTTCATAAACCTCTTTTTATCTCTCCTCGATTTGCGTGCGCAGTCCGAGCGCGTATCCGGAAAGCCCTTATGTAAAAAATTTAAGAAATGATGATTTTTGGCTTAAAAAGATAATTTTTGTTGACTTCGGTCAACGTTTTGGGTAAACGGACCCGGACCCGTATTCCGACGGTCCCGGAGGGTCCGTAGTAAAATATGGGACCTGGGCGTATGCCCGGAATCGAATTCCGAGGTCCCTAGCCCGAGAAATAAATTTTTGAAGAAAATTGATAAGACTAAAAATGCAATAATTATAAAAAGATTTGATCTTATTGGTATCGGGCCCGTATTTTGGTTCTGGAGCCGGTACAGACCCGTTATGATATTTAAGCCTTATATGTGAAATTTGATGAAAAACGAAAGTGATTTGATGTAATTCGGACCTTTGGTAGAGAAATAGAAGTTTTGAAAACTATCTTGAAAATTTCTTGAGTTTTGCTGTTGAATTCATAGCTCTAGATGTTATTTTGGCGACTTGATCGCGCGAGCAAGTTCGTATGATGTTTTAAGACTTGTGTGCATGTTTGGTTTGGAGCCTCAAAAGCTCGGGTGAGTTTTGGATAGGCTACGGAGTGAGTTTGAACTTAGAAATTTGCTGTTGCATCTGGTATCTGTAGCAGGCCTCTGATCTCGCAATTGCGAGATCAGGCTTCGCAATTGCGAGCATAGCAGGCATGGCAATTGCGAGGTCTTTATCGCAATTGCGAAGAAGACCTGGGCCAGCAGAGTTCGCAAATGCGAACATATCTTCGCATTTGCGAAGTAGTCAGGGAAGGGGGAATCATCGCAATTGCGACCAAAGGTTCGCATTTGCGACAGTAGCAGAAATGCGACAGGTTCGCATTTGCGATGCCAGTCTCGTATTTGTGAGCTTCGCAATTGCGAAGCTCAGGTTGCAAATGCGACATCTGCAACTGTGCAAAAAGGGAATTAGACAGGATTTTCACTCATTCTTCACATTTTTCAAATCCTAGAACCCTAGAGGCGATTCTCCAAAGACCAAATCTTCCCCAAAACTTTGGTAAGTGATCTTACCCCACTTTCTTTCACTTTCCCATTACATTTCATGAATTTGCAACCAAAAATCTAAGATTTTCATGGTGGAATTGGGTGTTTTGGGTAGAATTTAGGAATTTTGAAATTTGGGGATTTAGACCTCAAATTGAGGTCGAATTCCAAAACCAATTGTATATCCGGGCTCGGGGGTGAATGGGTAATCGGGTTTTGGTCCGAATTTTGGGTTTTGACCAAGCGGGTCCGGGGTCGATTTTTGAATTTTTGGGGAAAATGTTGGGAAACCTATAATTAATTATTGGAATTGATTTCTTTAGCATTTATTGATGTTATTAAGTTAATTATGACTAGATACGAGTGAATTGATGGTGGGATCGAGAGGTAAAGCGGTGATTGAGCTTTGAAATACCCGTTGGCTTGAGGTAAGTATTTGGTCTAACTTTGACTTGAGGGATTAGGGATCCCCGACTTATTTGCTATGTGAAATTCCATGTGTGCGGCGTATAGGTGTGGTGACGAGTACCTATGCGCTACCAAATCAACATTTAAGCCCCTTCCCCGTTTTCTAATATATTATTTCTTGTCTTAATTGCTACTTGCTCATAAATGTTTCCATGTCTAATTGCTTCATATTAACTGTTGTTTTCTCTATTGAAGTATTAAATGTTTCATAGTTTCATTTTATTACCTCGATGGTTGAAGTTGGTTTGTTGGTGCTTCATGGTACACTTTGGTTGGTCTCGCTGTGTAGTATTAACTGTTGAAGTCTCGTAATGGCATAGACCTCCTGTTGTTGTGATTTGTGGTATAAATGCCGTGGAAAGTTTTGAGTTAAATTGTGAACTACCTGTTCTTGTGTTGTGATTGGTACTGACATGTTAGGATCGGGTTGCACGCCACAATAGGAGAAATAAGGGTGAAAAGTGATTGTCTGGTGGGATCGGGTTGCATGCCGCAACAAGGAGTAATAAGGGTGGACATGTGGGATCGGGTTGCATGCCGCAACAGGAGGAATAAGGGTGATATATTGAGGAGTAATAAGGGTGGACTGGTGAGATCGGGTTGCACGCCGCAACAAGGAGCAATAAGGGAGAATATTTATACAGTTATTGATTATATTTTGGGATCGGGATGCGCGCCGCATCAGGTGGTTTTTATGTATTCTTTCTCTGCTGAGATTCATTATTGTGAAATTGATATTCGCTTAAGGATTGGTTATCGCTGAGTATTGGTAGAAATCCTGGGTTCCGTATTTGTTTAATGCAAGTTACTGTTATATTTCGTTCTGCGATTCTTTTTTGTCTTAGTATAAACTGTTGCAGGTTATATATTGTTATGCCCCGCCGTAGCCTCATCACTACTTCGTCGAGGTTAGGCTCGGCACTTTCCAGTACATGGGGTCGGTTGTACTGATACTGCACTCTGCACTTTCTGTGTAGATTTCGGTGTTGGTAGTGGCTGATCGAGAGGTCGGTTGCTGATTCTACATCCAAGAGACCCAAGGTAGACCTGCAGGCGTCCGCAAGCCCTAACGTCCCCTCCTATCTTTACTTCATTTCTGTTTTACTTTCTTTGAGAAAGATGTTATTTCTTTCAAACCATTACTTGTAGTATTCATAGAATGTTCGTGAGTTG